AAAAAAAAAAGAGAGAGAGAGAGAAAGAAAAAGAAAAATAGTTGGACCTGTGGCAGGCGCCTGTAGTCCCAGCTATTTGGGAGGCTGAGGCAAGAGAATTGCTAGAGCCCAAGAGTCTGAGGTTGCTGTGAGCTGTGATGCCAAGGCACTCTACCCAGGGGACAAAGTGAGACTTTGTTTCAAACCCCGCCCCCAAAACTAAAAAACTGACAAATAACACCTTTAATAGATAAAGGCAAATAATGGGCCAAAGGCAGTGGCTCATGCTCAGCATTTTAAGAGGCTGAGGCAGGAGGATAACTTGAAGCCAGGAGATTGAGACCTCATTTCTACAAAAAGTTAAAAAGAAAAAAAATTAACTGGGCATGGTGGTGTACACTGTAGTCCCAGCTATTTGGGCAGGAGGCTGAAGTGGGAGAAATCACTTGAGCTCAGGAGTTCATAGTTTCAGTGAGCTGTGATGGTGTCCTGCACTCCAGCTTGGGCAACAGAATGAGATTCTATTCTACTTTTGAAAAAAAAGGGAGAGCCAAAAAAAATGAATTTAGAATTGGATTAAATTTATAATCAAAGAATTATCTCCAATAGGGACTGAGGTTTTATACCAAGAACGTTATAAAAATTCATGACAATTTTATGAAATATAATGTTTTTATTTCAAAGTAGAATGTATTAATAGCCATTAATTTAGAAACATAATGTATAATATACTAAATGAAAATTCCATACTGAAATTTTATCTAAGATACTTTATGATTATTCTGATAGTAAGAGCCACAGTTTAAGCAACTTTTTCTAAATGAGGGTCGTCATTAATTCTTGAGACCTCATACAACGATAAAAACATAACATACTCCCTCACCTTAGTATGACAGCTTTAATGGAACAATTCATTCACCAAATTATACATTCTAAGAAGTAAATCACATTCTCTCATTGAACAGGCCAAGTCCCTTTTCAAATCCAAGAGGAAAGAGGTGGAATGTGTGTGGCCCAGAGCCCCGCAGCTGGGCAGAGTGTGGCACCACTGTCCGGCAGGCAATGTCGTGTTCCACAAGCTGCCTCCTCTTTAGCACTTTCCTGTTGGCTGAAGTACCTCAGGTCTTAGCCATATAAGGCACTAAGAAGAGTAATTTCTTACTCAGGAGATCTTCTTACCATCCCTCGTCTCCTTCAGTAGACAGCCAACTGCAATGGCTCACACAGTTACTCTCCCAATGACCTACCATCTGCCAATGAGAGTCTCAAGCCCCAAGTCCTGATAGTTAAGGTCTCTTTTCTCTGTGAGAAGAGATGGTTCCCCTATAAGTTCTGTAGGTTAAGTTTACTCAGAAAGGGATCTCTCTGAAGTTTAAAAAATTGAAATTTACTTGCATTGTATTGCAAATGTAAGAAACTTATAGATCTGTCCGTGAAGATCCACTAATTTGCAACTTTCGGGTTCTAAAGGAGAATAAGTATATTGATTATAGTATTTTTTTTAAATGCCAGTTAGGTTTTAAGATGAGGAATTCTGTAAATCCAGCACCAGAAGAATGAAACTCTTCTAGGAAGCCCTAGTATTTATAAAATGCTTTGAGTGATATTAGTCACAAAAGCACTTGAGGACATCCACAAAAGACTGTCATAAAACCAAGCACAATGCACGATGATGGAGAATGAACGAGAAGGCCGCTGGTCAAGTGGCACTTCTGACCACGAGGCTGACTCCTGGAGGGCCAGTTCTCAAGTCCCAGTGGAGGAGGCGGGAGGAGGTACCCTCCCTTGCCCCCCATACAGTTTAGTGCCTTGGACCTCGTGGGGAGCCAGGAAGATCTCACCTCCCCTCTCTAGTCTACAGAGCACCGCTCGTAGCCCTAGAAGTGCTGAGTTCTTGAAAGCTTCACACAGTGACAGTGGGAACAGGGGCAAGGGGTGGAGAGTGCCCTGGACGGAAGAAGTCACTGAGCAGGTCTGAGACAGCTCTGCAGGCCCAAGGAGTCTGCACTTAGCCTGACACGTTCTCCTCCCCATCCTCAGGCTCTGAGGTCTGAGTGAGCACTGGCTATGACAGGCTCTCTGAATATTCTCACTGTTGGGGAATGCTGAGATCTGGCTGAAATGGCACGTTCTATAGAGGGTGAGTGGCAACAACTTCTAGGTTAGATTACAGTGCATTTGTATATTTTCTTACTTTGATAGGATTTAAGAATTATTGGTTCATTAGCCATTTAAGAGAATAATAATTCAGTAGTGGCAACTAGGAGGTTGAGCAGGATCATTCTTCAGTAGTATCCAGCCTGGAGAGAGGAAAAAGGGATCCAGTTACTCTGCTGGTTTAAGAATCCTCCCACAACCAGCCTTGTAGCAGGAGCTTGGGACTGGAACTCCAACAAACACCCGGTCATGGAAGACGCTCTCAATGCACTGTTCAAACAAAGACTACATATCCCTGAGGAGCGTTAAGTGCAGTTTGGGCTAAAGGTAAAGGATTATGGCCTTCCTCAAAAAACAACAATAACAGGAATGAAATGGTGACAGAGGCTATATTCTATCCAACATCAGTAAGATGACATCACAAGGGGACAGGAGTTGAAATAGTCATTTTTTATTCTAGCATTCTAAGTAGGAGCTAAAATCACTACATGAAACCGATACCCAATTTGTTTCTAAAATTCAAAGCAATACTGAGTTTTACAGGGGCTGCTGCAACGGCAAGGTTAATGTCATATTTAATTGTTGAAGGCCAAATGACAATTATCAACTTTAACCTTGTAAGTTTCTCAGTCTTCTCAAACCTACAACCTCCTCCCCATGGTGCTTTCTGTACCTTCTAAGCTTACTGGAACTTTACTTAGTGGGTAGTACTTACAGTCTAAAACCATTCTAATTCTAGCAGGATAATTAATAAAACCAATCCAAGTGTACAACAAAGTTAATTATTAAGTGCAGAAAGGCCATTTCAGAAAAATGTTTGTAATTATAAAAAATAAAGACTCCTCAAGTAAACACACAATATAGATTTAAAGTCATCTATTTAAATAGTAGATAAAAAAGAGGATTAAAAACTCTGAGAGAGGCAAAGCAGCAGCAAAGGAGCAAAAAAACCCACTAAGTCTCTTCCTAGACTAGTCTGAATCCAAAAATTATTAACGACTAATAGAGATCAGAATCGAGAGGGAGAGTGACAGTGGCCCAGGAAATACTGGAGGCCTCTTCCCTCAGTCTGCAGGAGAGCAACGTGAGGTCCAAGTAAGGGCTCATTCAAAAAGGCTTCATTCACCCAAAGTCAAAATTAAGTCAACATCAGAACCAGGAATCAAAGCCACATGTTCTTGTTCACAGCTAAAGGTTTTCTTATGCTGCAGCTTCTCCAGACACCAACAAAGAAGATCCGCCCGCCAAGTTCTGGGAGCGTGAACCTGTCTGTACCCTGTACTGCACCTGCGGGAGCCTGGCTGGGGACACGGCAAGCCTGGGGGCGCAGGCCCAGCCTGGTCCTCTGTATTTCCAGGAGTCTGAGAATTCCATTCGGACCATGAAGGTGCATCTCAGGCTGGGAGACCAATGTCTTGGGCAAAGGGCAAGAAAAGCAGATAATAACCAGAGACCCAAGCAAGCCTCCAACCTATCACCGGCCTCAGAAGATGAAGTAAGAGCAGAAAGCCCCTGAATTGTACACTGCCTTGATTCACTACATTTGCTCCCAGGAATTCCAAAGTCAAACTTTAAAAAAAAAATCAAAATGATTCAGATTTTTAGATTATTTTCAGATATGAAACAAAGAGTTTCCTGTCTGAATGTGACTCTAAGTCTGACTTAGTCATCTGGCACTTTCTCCAGGAGAGGTGAATGGATGGAAAAGAGGAATGGCTTGCATATGGTTGCACTTTTTCGAGAAATGTTTGTTTCACCAAAATCCCGCTAAGCCATTAACTCTATACACTTCTCTTGTACTCCTAGAGATTCATCCCTACCCTTTTAAAATTGTGGATAAGTTCGGTTTTAACACTCTGATACTCTGGGCCAAGGTCCACAATGTCTAGAAACAAGTAAAAAACATTCTTTTTTCAATAACCCCTAAGCCTCCAACTGTAGGGGGAAAAAACCTAAAAGAAAACATACCCAACTTGGCCCATCTTACGTACAGAAAGAAAATAAGGAGTTCCTACCTCACTCTTAACAGGGAGCCGGGCTTTGAAATCTGCGGGGCATCACTGTGCACTGGACCAACGCAGTCTGTGAACTACCAGAAAACCCAACAGCGCCTTTCTCCTCAGCACAGCTTGGTATTTCTGAGAAAACCCAAAGGATTTCAAATGCAAGTGGTATCTCTAATTCCACCAAAGCTGTGATACTGTAAGGTAAGCCAACCCTCTTTCAAACAAAACAGACACAGACACAGCTATTTCCATTAGACACCTCTCCTCCAAGCCCACTCCTCATGGACGCTGTCGATATGTCCAATGTGCCTCCGCAGCTGGCTGAGGGCTCCACAGACACAACCGCCTCCCTTCAGTTTATGTCATGGTGCATTTCCTCCTTCACCACAAAGATTCATAAGCTTCACTGAGAAGGCAGTGATCATGAGGGGCTCCATGCCTCCCATCTCTGTAATACCTAATCACCAAAGATAAACTTTATCTGATAGCCAACTTTGGAGGAAGAACACTAAAGCTAGTAAATGTCCCTCACCGAAGTGGCTTCCCCACCACCACCGTCCACTGCAGCCCCTCCACCTGCAGGGCACCCTGATCTCAGGCTCTTTCAAGAACAAAACCAAAAGTGAAAAGCAAAGACCAAGACCAAGAGGATGAGAGGGTTAGACAGCTCAGAATTCCATAAGCCAGGGCTATAGCATTTTAAACACTTACACCAAACATTAGCAAACTTTTTCTGTAGTAATTTAGAAGCTCTAAGGGCCACTCGGCTTCTGTTACAACTACTCAACTCTGACACTGGCACGGAAGCAGGTTTGGATGATAGCGAGTGGGTGTGGCTGTGTTCTAATAATTTTACTGAAAGAGATAGCAGTAGCTGGCCAGCAGGCTGCAGTCCGCCAACCCTGCCTTAGACTCTACAGTTAATGGAACCAGTCTTGTTGGAACATGCACCTGGCAGCCACTGGGCAGGACCAGAGAGATTGGCACCTGAGGAGGAACAGGGACTTACCTTGATAAGCACAGCTGCTAGAACACCCAGGAAAGCGAGCAGCAGGAGACTGAGTTTTCCTTTGTTGAATCGTTTCAAGAAGAAGAATTTCCCCCAATCTACCTTTGATTGGCTGTTGGGAGGATATCTGAGTTTGTTAGCAGCTTCTCCCTTTAAACTTTTTAACAAACAGGGACGTTGATGAGAAAAGGTATCAAAACTGTATTTTCCATGATAAGCTCCCATCCCACTGGAACCTGAAATAAAGGGAACAAACAAAACAAGCTTTGCTATAGGTGACACAGTTTTCTAAACAACAGAGAAAACACACATTCGCTCCCTGTTGCTTGGGGTGACCTTGCTGAATTTCTCTGCCAGTGTCTCTTTACAGGAAACCCTTCCCAATGTCCCTGGGAAAGTCATCTCCCTGTCTAAAAGGTCAGTTTCCAAGAGGAGAGCAAGGTTTCGCAGCTCCCACAGCTGTGGCTCTCACTTAAGAACTACGCTCAGAGTTTAAATGCATTCTCTTGAGATAATTCCCACCACACTCCTACTACATAAAATATTATCAAGCCTGTTTCTGGGCAGGAAAGGAAAGCTTACATTAGTTAACCTGCCCAAGGTCACGTGGCTGTTAAGTGACAAAGCTACAACATGAATCCATATCAGTTAGACTCTAAATGCTGGGTGTGTTCTTTCCCCACCATTCCACATGGGTTTATGTATCCCTGGCCCCACTCACTTGCTTCCTGTAAGCCCCTTCCAGTAACAAAGAGGCAAGTTCTTTAAAAAGCAAAGCTCGAAGCTCGGCTGGACAGAGTGGCTCACGCCTCCTACCACTCTGGGAGGCCAAAATGGGTGGATTGCTTGAGCTCAGGAGTTCAAGACCAGTTTGAACAATAGTGAGACCCCATCTCTACTAAAAATAGAAAAACTGAGGCAGGAGGATCACTTGAACCCAAGAGCTTGAGGTTGCTGTGAGCTGTGAGGTCATGGCATTCTACTCAGGGCATCAGAATGAAACTCAAATAAATAAATAAATAAGCAAGTAAGCAAGCCAAGCTCTGTGAGTTTTCATTCTCTAAATTATGTGTGCAACAGACGGACAGGTGCAAAGGTGCAAAGCGTGTGCCAGGCAGAGAAAACAGCATGTGTATCGCATGGGAGGCATGGGAGGCCCAAGACAAAACCTAGAGAAACCCTGACATTGAGAGGGCAGAGGATGAGCAGGCCAGGCAGAGACATGACCAAGGTAGCAAGGAACTGGGAATGACAATTCCTGTATGACAATCTGAAGGAAGAAAAATAGGGTGGAAAACACTTAAAAGTAAGCCGGGCGCGGTGGCTCACACCTGTAATCCCAGCACTCTGAGAGGCCAGGGCAGATGGATTGCCTGAGCCCACAAGTTCAAGACCAGCCTGAGCCAGAGCGAGACTTCGTCTCTAAAAATAGCCAGGCATTGTGGT